ACCAGTAGGTTTAAGCCATGTCTTCAGACAAGGAGATTTGTTCTTGATCTATGGGAAGAAAGTGAGTTCAGAAGACCATGACAATTAAGGGACTTTACAGCTTCTGATTGATATTTGGAATATTGTTGGTGCTGATAATACTGAACATTACTCAGAGTGGTTTTCATTTCAGCTGCTGCACACTAATCCTGGCTCACGGCTTTTATTAGACCCCTCTAAGAAAAAGGAATTAAAATGATCAAATGTCCATCATGATGTACAAAGCCCTATTTAGATGCCTAATATTAAGTACACAGTTTTAAAACTGGGCTGACTCATGTGTGTTCCCTTTAAGCAAGGACTGCAAGCTATGGGTTTTTTTTGTAACATTACTGAGAGTGCTAATACTAAGAATGAGGTACATATGAAAGAATCCAGTTTAACAGAAATGAGCCTTTTATCATAAGTACTCCTAGAGATAGAACACTTGGCACAAAGGCTGCCTATAGATGTGCTTATTTGTGTTCTAATTAGAATGCTCCAGTGCCGCCTAACCATCATGTGTATTAAGTCCCTGCATTTCAAAATGGCCTCAAGGATGCTTTAACTAAACCTTGTCAAATGAGCTTTAGTTAAAGCACCCCTGCGGCCACTGTGAAACGTGGTGGGGCTTAAGACATGTGACAGTGAAACATTTTAATTAGAGCGGCTGTCTGGGAACCACTCTAATTTAAACACCACCCCCCCACACACTCCTTCCACCTCTGACCACATATATAGGCAGCCAGTGTGGTCAAGGTCTGTAACTAGGACTCCTAGACAATCAGATAATGCATGCAATAATAATATGGCATGCACTGGTTGGTAAGACATGCCTTAGCAGCAAAAATGAGCCAGTCTGTCCTTCACAGAAGGATTAATACAATAGTAAGGAGCTGGACTTATCTCCCTTGCCATCCATTTTCTCTAGGTATTGTAGTGAACATTTTTCAAGATGCATTGGTTTGGTATTCTATCTGCCTGACCTACCAGTCCTCTTCTTTCTCAAGATAAACTCACCAAATTTTCTTACTGTCCATATTCTCATGTATTAGATTTTTTTTTTATTTTTCCACGCTTTGAAGGGCAATTTCTGCATTTAGTTTTCAGTCCTGAGTGGCTTTGCCAACATACACTGGTTTCACACATGCGTGAAAAATATAAAAATGGGTTACTGCACTGAACACCTACTAGAACCTTATGCACAGCCAAGAGAAAGCAAGTGAGAGGATTTCCTATCAGTCTCTCATGAAATTGGAGGTGGTCCAGTAGGTCAAAGGATCAAAATATCTCTCCTTACTGACAGCGATCTGTACACACAAGGTACACATTATGCAGATTATGTATGTTTCTGGTAGGAATAATCTGTGTGCATTGAATGGCGGCTTGCCAGAATATAACCCTACAGTAATGCAGCTTTTGTACACCATGTTTTGGGGGGATGCTAGTAGTTTGGTCACTAGGAATTTAAAATCCTAAAAAGTTTACACACAGAGAGACACATTTTGTTCCACCTCTGTATAGACACCCTGGTTGGAATTTTTGAGGCTCATTATGTGCCTAGGTGGCCTCTCTGTGCCTAGAGATGTGCACACTTAATTCTTGTTTTGTGGGTGTGACTGAGCATATAAACAAAATGCTCAGGGAGGTGGCTAAGGAGACTTTGTGCTCAGGGCACACCTAAATTGTTAGGTACTTTTCCAGGTTTCTCTCTGGTGCCAGGCAGCCCTGGAGAAGCTGCCTGGGGAGAATATCTGAGGCCTTCTGCTCAAGGAAGAAAAGTTCCTTTAAAGAAACTGGATAAATATTTCAGTACAAATGAAATGTTTATGCATACAGGTGACCCAGGTCTGGAAGAGAAGAAATGAGGAGAGGAGGTGCTTGCTGTATTTTTCCACTGCCTTTTCATGAAAGGCCCTTAGGCCTCCAAGGAGTGCATCCTTGCCAACCAAGTGCTGTGACCTCCTTAGAGCCCAAGCACAACTAACCCAAACTCGCAGGTCATGGCAGTGGTTGAGGGTGAGAGCCACGAGCAGGTTCCACAGAGGAAGCAGGTGGCATGGGAGAAGAGGGTGCTGTTACCTCTGACCCAGGGCATTTCACCAGCTTCTCGTAGTGCCTAATACAGGTGTGTCATTGAGCAGTTGACTTGGGGTCCCTACAAAAGAGGTACGCAGTGTGATGGATTCCTTTGTGGAGTCAGCCATGCTGGGCCTGCATACTCTGGCCTCCTATTTTGTGTTTCAGCCTAACTAATGTAATTCCCTCACATAACCTGCCCTGGCTCTAGGCAGGACACCAGGGTCTGCTCCCCTACCTCAATCAGGTGGGAGTGACTTAGTGGCTCCCTATAAGTATATAAAAGGTGTACATCAGGATCTGAGGGAGCGCCTGTTCACCAGAGCGTCCCACGGGATGACAAGGTCAAGCAGTCACAAACTCCTCCAAGACCGTTTCAGGCTGGACATAAGGAAAAATTTCTTTATTGCCCGAGCCCCCAAGGCCTGGAATAGACTGCCTCCAGAAGTGGTGCAAGCCCCTACTCTGGACTCTTTTAAGAAACATTTGGATGCCTATCTTGCTGGGATCATTTGACCTGACTTCCTGCCCCTGAGACAGGGGTCTCGACTGGATGATCTTCCAAGGTCCCTTGCAGCCCTAATGTCTATGAAATCTATGAATCTATGAAATTTGCATACAGTAATATGATGTGCTGGTAGAGTCCTTGCTATAGATGCTTACACTTCAAAAATCATCCCATCAGCAGAAGGAGGCACATTAGTTCATGCATTCAGGGCCCTGACATGGACGCTGGTGTACTATGCTTCTGCTTTGGTGGCTGCGCTGACCAGTGCCCTTCCCAGCTTTGCTGAACTCACGGTGCAAAATAACAACCAACCTGGTTGGCCAGTTATTCACTCCAAAATTTATCTTCTGAACACCAGATCGATCAGACGACTCAGTATCTCCCTACATCCCCCTGCAAACACACACTTCTTGCCACACACACATAGAGTGAGGCACTTTCCCCAGAGGATCCCCCTCCCCCCCTCATCTTCCTGATCACTTCTCCTATTTTTATGTCCTTCCTCTTAATAATGTTCAACATGAATTCTTCTGCCCTAACTGCTCTGGGGAAAAAACTGATCTAGGTAGTCTGGAAGGTACATCTCTACCTTTCCAGATACTCGTTTCTATCATTCTCCCTTTCTCTTTTCTCTGACTTGCTTCTGCCAACCTGCAGTGCTCAACTGTTGCTGCTACTCCACTGCAATCTAAGTGAGACCAAGGCATTGCTGTCAGGCAGCAAGGGAGGAAGTAGTTACCAGCAAGACCTGAAAGAGCCTCTTCCCTTTCATTTCCTTCCCTATTCCCACCTTCTATACAGAAGTAATTCTGTGACAGAATGAAAGGGGACAGAATTAAAATTTCACTTTCCAAATTAAGCAAGTCCAGACATCTCCAGTGCCAGTATACACAGCTCTCATCCACTGAGTGAGTGTTTGCTGAGGTACTGGCCCACTGACAAGGCACCAGGAAGAAAAGAACAGAAACTAAAGAGGAGCATAGGGCACCTGTGGCATTTCTGGTCCCCTGGGTCCTGCGTGGCACAGCTCCCTTTGGTGCTTCTCCTCCAAACCAGCTGGCTTGCACCTCCTCCATTGTCCCAGCTGCCCAGTGTGTACCAGCCTTCTCTAGCTCAGTGATCTTTGCTCTCACCTATTGCTTAAACTTTCCTGGTGGGTATGTGTTTCTTATAACTTTTGTATTTATGCTTCTCAAGATTAAAAAGTTTACAGTTGGGTAAATGTGCTGTATGTGACTTCCACTTAACTCTGAAGCATGCCAGGGACATAGAGTTTTCCCAATCCAGATATGATGTAGGT